ACTTCACAAAGAGTTGATTTATTCATATTTGTTAAAAGAGTTATCACTTGATCATGTTGAAGCGATATATGGTATTGATACTTTTTGTTTTTGTTTATATCACGGGAAATGGTTTACAGCAAAAAACGCACATACTTCACGTTATAAAAAAGTTCATCAAAAAAACTAACAAACTAATAAAGAAGACGAAGAAATGCTTTGTTAATAATTTTGTGGCTTACTACGATTCGATATATGTTGATATAACTTCAAAAATAGAACCTAATATTACAAGAACGAAAGCACAAATAACCGAACTCTTTTTTATCAAGTTTGCATCGCTTCCAAGTTCAAAGCGATATTTTGAAACACAATCAAAGCGGACATTAGATGTTTTTCAAGAACCACCAACCAATTTAATTGGAGAACAGAATATTCAACGAGAAGCACACCAAACAACACTAAATTTAAATTTTCAAATTAATGAAGAAGAATACACCAACACCGAAATAGAACAAAATCAAGAACTTATTAATGATACAATTAACGCCGAAAGTTTATACGAAGAAAAAAAAACAAGAGAAAAGGAACAAATGGTTCAAACTGATGTTGGTGAAAGATTAATGTTTCAGTTGGCAGAAATGTCAAAAAGTATCACTTAATAATATAAATACTGTTCTTTTAGAACTTGGCTTGTTTGAAAATGTTGCATTTAAAAAATACAAAGATTGTGGGATGGAAAACGTAGATATTGATGAAGAATCCGAAACCGTTCGTAAATTTTCTAATAATAAACACGGCGATTTTTGGAACGATTCATTGTAGCTTTTGATTGTTTGATGAAATCAATACCATCACAAACAAAAACGGTTGTTTGTGATGGAAGTTAGACAGGGTGAAATAACAGACTATGTTATTAACAGTATTACTAACGAGTCTTTGATGTCTGAAAAACAAAAGAAAGCTGTTAAAACATGTATTTTGATTAGCCATGCGGCGTTGAGTCGTGAAACGTTGTCTCGCTCCAAAACTTTAGCGATAAGCCAAAGAACAAGTGTAAATCAAATCAAAAAAACCAACAACGTTTTAATGAGTACAATTAGAGATGAAAGAGAACTTCACGACTGCTTGGCCATTTCCGTGGATTCAACAACAAAAGATGACGTTGAAATCTTTTGCGTCATGTTATGTTTAATAAAAGGACGTAATTGTTATTCTATGCCTATACTTCTTCGTCAATATAAAGGTGAATTGGATGCAGAGACTCTATCTAAATGGTTGGTTTCAAAATTGACAGATTTGGGGTTGATTTGTCACCGCATAGTAAATGTGACGTCAGACGGAATCGCTTCATGGTCTGGACTTAACGGCAGTGTGCCTATTAAAATGAACGAATTGGTACAAAAAGAGCTTCCACTTGGAAGAGAATTGATTGACTCCGACATCAAACAGTTCTGGTGTGGTGCCCATCGACTGGCATTGTGTGGAGAAGGCCTTGAAAAAGAACCAGAAATTTTTCTTGTGAAAGTGTTTATCAAGTGGTTCTGTAAGAAAAGTCGTCTGAATGATTATAATACCAGGTGTGGACTTAATAATGATATAAACTCAACATATTCTTTCACGCGTTGGTTCTGGATATCGAGAAATAACACAGAAATTATAAACAACTACGAAGACGTTGTTAATTACGTTTCAACTCCAAGCGTATATGAAGAGTTATCAATTGAACTTGCATCCAACAAATTCACATTATTTGAAGACAAAATAAAACTGTCAAAACAAAAAAAGAACCGACAATTTAGACACTAACAACAACGACAAGAAATGTTGGGAAGTGATGACGCTGAAGAAGAGGACTCTGATGAAGCACGACAAGTTCCATTTAATCTTAATTCACCACCAATAAGAAACGTGTTTTATAAATCGAAGAAAATATTTGAACTCCTTTTCATTATGTGCTCTTCTTTACAAGAAGACAGTCTCCTGCTCTTCGAGTGTGTTGAATGTGTCGACATGTTTATGTTATATATAAATATAATCATAAAAGAGGTGGAGGATGGCACATGGGTCTTTTTCAGAGATATAAGGGAAGTCAAAGACTCTTTTGTACTTCGGGTGCTTTATAGACTGAAGTGCCAATTATCACTTAGATTTACACAAACTAGTCAATCGGTTAACATGAACAGCGTTAAGGATTCGAATGTTAAATGGAGAACAGGCAGCGTCGAAGCTTCAATTTTCAAGAGAAACTCCAATTACACAATTTTTTTCAGAACTTTTAGAAGTCTTTTATATTCCTGATGATGTGATTACAAAGAACCTGTTACCTGAATACACAACAAAGAGTCATAAATTTAGCTCAGTCTTCAATGATGAAATCACCAAATTTATTGTTTATGTAAATAGAATGACATCTTTTGAAAAGGAGTTGATAATCAAAAAAGTGAAAAAATCGCAGAGCACTTTTCATGAAAAACTTTTGCGTTTAACAAACACCAGGCAACGAGTTACACTTCTAGAAGTTTATGATGTACTAGAACAACTCAAATTGATAAACTTACAAAGTGTTGTTCAGTGCATGGTGTGTGTTTACCCAACTTCCGTTGATGTTGAAAGATTTTTTTCTAAACTCAAGCAAATGAGATCAAAAAACATGCTACTTCAAACTGCATAAGAGAGGTTGTTTTAATGTATTAAAAACAACAAATGCTTTTTTGTTATTTGAATTGGATTCTAGTTTATATTTAACAATTTTATTATAAAAATATAATAATAATAAAAATAAAAAACAAATCCGTTTATTAAAAACAACAATAAGTAAAAATAAATTCTAATTGTAGTATATGTTGCCTTGATTATTATAAGAATTGCAGTATAAAAAGTATGATTAAAAGTAATGAACATCTTAATGTTGAATAATACAATTATTTGGATAAAAAGTTGTTGTTGTTGACTCATAGCAATGAAAATTAAATGTATTAGATTTAGGAAATATTTAATACAACCAAAAACAATTAAAGGGATGTGGCGCAATTTGTATAAATTTAAAACATGCGTTGGTGTGTATTGAATTAATTGAGTCAATTGTTTTATTTGGTTTTATCTTTTAATATGTTTGCTATTTGGAGTGTATACTCCAACCCATATTCACGTTATTGCACAAAATGTTTAGTTATCTTGGTAGAACACTATCATCATCATTATGATCATCACATATATTTTGGTGTAAACAATGCATAAATTAAATATATTATAAACATTTAAACAATAGTCTAATATTATTACATTTGTTTTATTATTTAACATGAAAATGACTGTTTTATAATAAACACATAATTTAAATTGATAAAATATAAAAACATATAGTTTTGTTTTAATCAAATTTATTAAAACCCATAATACTATAATATAAAAGAAACTCAATTCAAAAGAAGAATAATAAACACAGATAGTAATTGAATTGTTTGTAAGGTGGGTTTGGTTTAAATTGTTTTCATGTGTTTGTGAATAAAAAATATAATATGTAATTCTTAATAAATATAATTAAATTTGCAATAAATTGTAGTTATATAAAAACAAATCAAATAATATATATAATTAAAAAATAAATTAATTACAATTAATTGTAATAATAGTTTGAATCAAAATTAACTAATAGTATAATATTTGTTAAACAATTAACACAATTTTTATTAATTGTTTGTTTTATCTAATTATTTAATTATAATTAAATCTATTAATAATTAAGCTTTTTTATATATATTATACAAAATATACAAAAAAAATAATTTATATTAATAAATAATAATTAATTATATTATTTATATATAGTTTCTTTAGCAAGACCATCTTTGTATTTATTGGCCATAACTGAAACATAAACTTCAACTGCATGAACGAACACACGATACCACAGTCTGCTATAGCTCTTTTTGTTAATGAGACACAGAACATTGGGTCGATGATATCAACTGATGGAGTCACTGAATAATCTGCAATTAAACACTTTTTGCCAGTCTCGGTGTTTGAGATGACAGCAAATGGAGTGACTTCAGACGCCATGCCAGTAGTCAAAAAACTCATGAAACAAATTTGTGAGGAGTACAAGAAGGATGGCAAGCCAAGAATAAACACTGAAGAATTCAGATTTGGTAAGACCAATATTCTCTTCAAGGTTTGTGTTCTAGCTGAAATTGAAGAGATTAGAAGAGTTGATGAAAAACCGCAGCCAAAGACAAAGAAATTGAAGCCCTCAAGAAGAAACTTGCTGAAGAAATTGCAAAGAGAGAAGCCGCTGAGAAGGCACTTTCTGAAATGAAAATTGAGAACGTCCTTGGAAGCTTTAATCCAAAAGCTAAAAGAAGATATTGAGTCGAAGAAGATAGCACTTGAAGAGGCGGATATAAAGTCAAAAGAAGATCAAGAACGCATTGAAAAACTCCAAGGTGATATTAAGAGATAAAAGGAAAACTTGAGCAAGTTAACCACTGAGTATATATAACTTGAAGCTGATAATCAAGGATTTCAAGATGAAATTACCGAACACAAAGCGACTGTTGTTAAGAAGGATATTGTCACCACCGAGTTGAACAAAGACATTGAAGATATGGAAGGCGAAATTTCCGACTTGAAAAAGAAGTTAGTGGCCGAAGAAGACAATTCAAATGATCTTGAGACACAATTGCATGGGAAGGAAGACGACATTGCTGATTTAAAGAAAGCGGTTGCTGCGTTTAAAGAACAGAACACCCAACTTGATGCTGCTAAGAAGGATATGAAGAAGTGGTCTATCGAACGCAACGAAGATTGAGAATTATGAACCACAGATTAAGGCACTTGAAGCACAAAAGAAGATGACTTTGGACGACAAAGCGGAGGCTGAGAAGATTGCAGCGGACCAATTTGATAGAAGAAAGAATATGGAAGACCAAGTCAAAGCACACAATGCATAAGTCTCGTCACTCAAAGTCCAAGTCGTGCACCACCTTCTGTTGCTCAAGAAGAAGAGAAGAACATGTTGAATGCGAGAATTGCTGAAATCAAGCCCAACGAGAGAGAAGGCTAACAGTGCAGATGCTGCTCGAAAGGCTTCTGAGGGCAAATTGCAAAAAATCCGGTTCGACTTAGATGAAGCAAATAACACTAAAGAAAAGTTGACTAAAAAGGCGAATGACTTGACAGTCCAAGTTGATCAACTCACTGATGAAAAGAAGAAGAATGATAATGATTTGGAGGAAATAGACAAGGTGATCAACGACTTGAATGCTGAAGTTGACATGGCGCAGAAGCAACTTGACTATACAAATGATGACAAAGATGGCAATGAAGCGATGAAACAGAAATATCAAGACTAACTGAAGATCGTTAGAACTGAACTTGATCAAGAAAAGAAAGACCACACTAAGACCCAATTGGTTAAAGGAAAGGATGAAAAGAATATCGCTGAAATCACAGTCATAGCTGAAACCCTTGAGAAGAACGTCCAGATGGATGAACAAGAAAAGGTTAAAAAATAATAAAACCGCTTCTGAAGAATTGATGAGAACAATAACCGAACTCGACGAAAGAGGAACAAAATTACTTTGAAAAAAATATCTAAAATGAGAAAAGAGTTGAAGACTATTCGAAAAATTTGCTAAGACTTATAAACAGTCAAAAAAATGCGAGAAGAAATTGACTGAACTGAATGAACAACTTGATTGTTCTTCCTTTACTATCATATGAGGCGCCCCTCATCAAGCACCTGCAGCAACACATCAAACAGAACAACATTATGTGATCTTCTTCTGACAGTTTCTGTCGATCAGTCGTGAGACGTTGTGCGACATATATTCCGACTCATGACAATTCCGATGTTGTTGTTCTCATCGTCAAACAGTTGATCTGCAAATGTTTTTGCAGGTATCAATTTGCCAACATCATTCACCCCGAGGAATATGAACGAGTCGATCGCTTGTCTAAGCCAAGACCACTTTTGCTTCTCAGAATAGCCCCAGAGACCGCAGTCACAACTTCGTCCTGCCCAACAACTCTCTTGTGCAGCTCATTTCCAAGTTTCAGAAGTCTTATCTTCTCGCTGTGTCGTTCTGCTTACTAAGATGTCTGTCCATAAACTCACAACGTCTTCAATCAGTTGTGAGGTCACTAGTAACGACAGCACCGGTGTCGCTTTTGTCTGGTTCTTCAATTCTGTGAGTCGCTTCTCTGCCTCTAAAATTGCATAATAAACTGTTTTTTTAAAACTCTGTACTGGGAAGACCCAATTTATTGGACTTATTATTTTTAATTTATTTTTTCTTTGCTTAACCCTCATTTTTTGTTCAAAACATGTACTCATTAAAAAAACGAACCCGATTTTTTTATTTTTACTTGGCAAATAAATCTTGCACCAATAATTTACTTGAAAAATATTAAAACAAACTTAGGATTAAAATTTTGATTACCATAACACAAATATTGCCAAAAAACGAAAACACGACTTTTTCATTTAATATCTGTGTGTACAGAATCTATAAGTTGTGTTTCATACAAAAATGAAAAGTATGAATGAGTAAAACTGACAATGAAAAAAAACGAAAAAACGTTTTAGCCTAAATAATTGAATTTTTTTGTTTTATAACTGTTTATTTGATTTTATTCTGTTGTGATGAATGGATTTGTTTGTTTTTAAATGTTTGTTTTATGTATTCGATGGCCATTTTAATTGTTAAAAAAATAAAACTTATTATTAATTAAAGTATTATATCATTCAACGCAACTTTGTCCTCAGTCACATCGTTTGTTAATTGTTATATTGTCGTTTATCTTATGTTTATTTAAAAGATAGAATTTTACGGACGTTTAGTTACAAAATGAATCACTGACCAAAATAACGAACCGGAAAATCGGGGAAATTTGCCCAGTATTTGGGTGCTTTCCCTATTTTTTGTTTAATAATTGAATTTGTATTGGTTTTTGAGGGTTTAAAACTCTGTACCGTTGTTGTCTTAAAAAAGTAAAATAAAAAATAAAACAGATAAAAATAGTAAATAATGGAAAATTGGGGCAAACGGTTTATATACATTTTGGAAACGGTACAAAATTTTGGAATACTGTTTACTTCAAATCTGCGACAAACTCAAGGTCTTTTTTGTCCGATTTAGCTCTTTCAAACGCGATCTTCTCGACTGTCAGTTGTGTCTTTTCTTTCCAAGTTGCGATTTCCTCTGGCTGCGAGTTCTTCTGTGTGAAGAGTTTTGCACACGCCTCATCACCAAATTAATTGCTTGTATGACAAGAACTTTGCATTAATGTATTTTTTTAACAGTTGCAACAAGAGCTGAGTCGGTGAATTTTAGTCTGTGGTGGCTCTTATACTTCTCTCTGATGCCTCTTACAATGTACAAATTGTCCTCTTCGCTAAGCAGCGTAGACCTGCTGAAATTGTCTTTAAAATACAGCGTCTTTCTCAACACATTTTTTGTATTCGATAAGTATTATCGCTCCAATGCAATGCACCTCCCCTCTCGACAATATTGGCTTCAAAATGTTTTCCGCATCCATTGCACCCTCTTTGTTTGCACCGGCACCCAAGACAGTGTGGATCTTATCAATAAACAGAATAATTGGGTTTTTTGATTCTTTTACCTTCTTCAAGATCGCCTTCAGTCGTTCTTCAAACTGCTTTCTGTGCTGCGCACCAGCAAACAGTGCACCCATATCAAGTGCAATGACTCTGCGCCGCAAGTTTGAAGGAATATATCTTTCGAACTTTTACTATCCGCGGCACCACAATTTTTACATGGATCACTAAACCAATAAGTCGACAAAAAACCAACGCTTGGAACTTTATTTATAGAATCAGAAGCTAACGCTATTGATTGCCGCTATTAGATTTATAATTCAGAGCTAAGTACGAAACAGAATTGGAAGAAATTGAAACAGAAAAGGAAGAATTACAGAACGGTGCAACTAAATAATGAAATAAGCGAAATGATAGACAAGAAAGACTGAGTATGCCTAGAGAAATATAGCATGTTTCGAACAGAAACAGTTTATATACAAATTGAAAAGACACAAAAAATTTAACCGATGAAATGATTGTTGTTGAGAAAAAAATGAAGATGGAAAAAAATATCGGAAAACAACTGCAAATGCTTGGTGTGATTGGTTAAAGTCAGTTGAGTAATTGTTTGGATGAAAATTGTATTTGTGTGTCAATTTCACCCTCGATGATGCTTCGACGATGATATATAATGAAAGTGTTCTTGTGAAGAAGTTTATTAAATTTATGAAATCGATAGGTATTGATGTTGATGGATTTGAACCAAATTATTGTTTCAATCATTGATTGAGTAAAGTGGTTGAGAAAATCGGAACGACGTTTTAAGGGTGTCTTGTAAAGAATTTTTATACAAATTAACGGGAGCCAACATAAGGATAAATTGGGAAACTCATTGTAAAGAAAAAGGAATTAAAAAGTAAGCATTGTCAATTCCTCAATATAGCAACACTCGGTTTCCATATATAACGACAATATCTAATATGGTATTTGACAATCTCAACGAACTTCGAGATTTTACAAGGAAACAAAAAAAAAGAACTGGAAATTGAAATGCCTAAACCAAAAATAATGGAGAGCAGTGCCAAACAACAAAACAAAAATGATAACGAAAACGACAACTTCGAAGATGATGGCATTGATGTTTCGAGACGACTTATTAAAACTGCAACTTTGGACGACGACATGTTTGTAGCACTGCTGTTCTTCGTTAATTTCGTTACAAGTCACGTAAAGGTTCTCAGTAATTGGCTCCAAAAATCATGCCTTTTCATTGCTGTTATTTTTGAACGCGTGCTCGAAGTCATCGAGAATTTTATAAAACTTAAAAATGACATCTGTCAACATTTTGAAGAAAAACTTTTTAACATGCCTACATCCACAAAGTCAAATCCATAGAAAGAGTTCAATTTCGTGATATTTGTCTGGGGTTGCTTTATCGTTTAGTACAAGCACTCTCAGTTCAATTCACTCTTCCAACCAAAAAACTCAAGCCAAGCCAAATAGCGCTCAACAGAGCAATAAATGAAACAACCATTGGAATTATCACATTTGATGACTTTGTTAAACTCGGAGACTCTTTTCGAAATGATTTTTTTGCTTACCATTCGCACTTCTTTGTTGCTTGTTTACAAAAGGTGAAATCTGAAATATCTGAAAATCTCAGATTGGAAATTGTTCAATTCAACCAATTAATGGACTCCCACCCAGAGCAAACAACCAAATTAAAAAGCAGAGACGTAGAAATCAAACAAAAATAATTGATGATACATCAAAAAGCCACACAATCGGTGATGCTTTCCAAAGAAATCAAAGACATTTTTCAAAAACTTGACTCACAACAAAACATCGTATTGTTAAATAAAAAGGAACAAAATGTTGTGAGGATTGTTAAAGAAATGCAAAAATCGAGGCAAATTAGGCATTGCCATTTGAATGACTATTTCGTTTTATTTCAAATAACTACAACATTGATGGTACTCCTGCAAATGTCTGAATCTGAAAGATCTCATTTCCCACATATAATGGATCTTTCCAAATGTGTAGAGGTAGTAAATGTGATTTCTTCCACAGTCGAACGTTCATTTTCACGTTTGAATCATATAGCAAAGGATAATATGAAGTTAGAAACAATTAGTCAAATGTATGATGTTAAAGATATCGTAAAGAAGTGTGATTTCTGATTTGTGTGTTTTTTAAATACAAATATTTTATTGTTATTTTTTACACTTAAAAACAATAACTTTAACATCCACCTATAATTTGAATAAATTGATATAATCAATTTCGCTAAATAATTTAATTTGAATTTTTTAATTATTATTAATTATTATTAATAATTAATAATAAATAATAAAAATAAAAATTTGAAAAATAATATTTATATTAAAAAAACAATAACCAATTGATGTCACACTTGATGGTATTGTAACACTTGTCTAACTACTACATCCATTGAAACAACAATAACATATTGATTTTATTTTAATTATTAAAATACTATTTATATTTATTTAAATTTTAAAAATTAATATAAAAATTGGTTATTATTTTATAATTAATAATTGTTTAGTATTAATAAAAAACCATATTATTATTAAAGAATTTTTAATAAATATCTTTTTAATTAACACATTTAATTTTGTTTTAATTAATATATAATAGTCAATTATTTTACTATTTCTATGGATTATTTAATTACTTGTCAGTTCTATTTATAAAACATTAAGAAGTATTTGTTATGGCTTTACATAATAAAGACTTTTTTCTTTTAACATTTATTCAAAATAGAGGAAATATTTTAAAATTTTAGTTTCTAATAATTTACTAATATTATTTTACATTTTTATTATATTCAAGAGTAATATAATTAATATATTACATTTATTAAAAAATTGTGATAATTTACTTTTATTTTCTATTATTTTTAAAATTTAACAAGAAATAATTATATATGTATCTATTATTTATAATATATTTCAATTATTTAACCATTTTATAAATTCATTCTTTAAATTCTATTTATAGAACATTAAGGGGTCCATCTTATGGCTGTATGAAATGAAGGTTTTTCATTTACTTCCCTTTCAAAAAATTTCATATAAAATTCTTGGGACTTACCTTTTACACCCACACCCCGCTATAAATACATATTTTTTATATAAAAATAAAACATTTTTTGTATTTTTTGTTTTTTGAGTCTTGAAAAAAATAGGGTTTTACTTTTTCTCATTTACATCTAAAAAAGTAAAACCAGTAAAAGTTTTATATAAAACGTCATTTTTTTGTTTTTTTTTTGTTTTTTTGTCGCATGTTTTGGCGCAAAGAAAACGTTTTGATTTATATTTAATTTTAAAACACTAAATTATATAATAATTAAATAAACCATACTTTCAATATTAACAAATCTAAAACTCTTAATTACTAAATGGAAGAACACTCAACCAAAATCCAAGTACTTTTTACCTTCGATGTCAAAACCAAAGAAGGTAACCCTTATTTATTTAAAGAAGGGCTTGAAACCCCAGACAACATCATCGATTCAATAGCCAATGCGTTTATTTCCTACAACTTCAAAACCCAATCAAAAACAATGGCAGAGGCTTCAGCTATCTCTGTTGCTGACCAGACATGTTCTCTCTTCGTTACTAAAAACAGCGATTCACAAAAACTCAAACAGACATTCCGTTGTGTTTACCAGAAATGTTATTGTACCATTTGTTTGAATTTGAATGAAAATAAAACAATGGTTAAACATATTGTTATAACAAATAATCACTCCCACAACTTTACTACGGATATTCCATTACACATGAGAATTATTTTTTCACAGGAACAAATAAATGAGATGAAAAAGCTTGCTACGATACATTATTCCACGTCACAAATTGTCACTACAATGAATCTTGCAGTCAAGCCATCAGTAGTTCGACGTCTTATTTCATCTTCGTTTAATAAATTTTCACCTGATCAAACACAACAACTATTTTTGTACACCGAAAAAACTAACCAATTTTCAACTCACTTTACCAAAAACAGTTCAGGACAATTTGTATCTTTTTTGCTTTCAACGTCAATCAAATTTCAACTGATTATTCAAATAGAATGTTTATAGATGATACAGCTTTAACTAATGTATTTAATTTGATTTTAATAGTAGCAGTGTTTTTAGACGAAAAAATAAAACGCATATTATTTTTTATGGTATATTAAGAGATAGAACAACTGATTCATTTTTCAACTTGTTCAAATTCGTTTCTAAATTTAGAAAATTTAATTTGGTTGTGTGTGATAGGTGCATGTCACAGATTTCCGCACTTTCTTCTGTCTTTTCTGGAATCAAATTCGTTTTTTGTCACAGGCATATTGCAAGAGATCTTATCGTTGCCTTTGGTGAAAAGTCAAAGATTGTTCATATGTGGTATCAAATGATTGATAAAACGGTTTCAGAAACAGACTTTGTCAAAACGTTAATGACGATGAGTGGCTCGGATCTCAGTACTGATCAAAATGAAAGAATTGAAGGAAGTGATAACGTTATATTAAATAATAGACAAATACCATTTGAAATTATTAATGAATTAAAAATAGCTAATAAAAATGAAAAAAGAAGACCGTACTAAAAATAAAATTCGATTAATCCAAGGTTTACTTAATGTGATGGATTGCTGGAGACCAAGCGTCACGGAGTGTATTTCAAACAGAACAACTTCAAATGCGATAGAAGGATACTTTGGAGTCTTTAAACTTAAGTTTGGGGGAAAAGAAGTGACTCTTTTGGAATTGGCGCAACTACTTGAAGCAGACAGCATACGTTTTGATTTACAGTTCAATTTTGATTACAATGCGGCTCGGTTGGTGATAGATGAGAATATACTGTACGTTTTACCGAAGGATATTATACACAAAGTCATGACAGAGTATAGATACGCAATAAGTGGCATGGGAATGATTGTTGATGGCACCACTTTATCTTCGTGCAACTGTGACCAATTTATAGAAAACAAATACCCGTGTATTCACTTGGTTACACTGTACTCTATAAAGTGGTGTTTCCCCCTTCCAGTTACTCTCTTCAATGATAAACTCTTTGAAACAACAAAATGTGTCCATTCAACTGAAACTATCTCAGTTGATGAGACAGTCAAGCCACCAAAAAGTCGACGTGATCTACACTTTGCTCTTGAAGCAATAGAAAACGTTTTAAATAATGACTATACCCTTTTAGTGAGATGTTATGAATTTGTCAACAACGTTTTGAAAGGAAAAAATGAGAAAACTGAACACATTGAAGAATTTGTTGTCGAAGAAACAAGGAAAAGACTCCGACCCAGTTTAGTGGTCACTAAATCTACAAGTGGTAGGAAGTCGATTTTTATAACAGAAAACAAAGAAAGTAGTAACACTATTGTAAAGAGAAGTCGCTAGTATGCACCCAAAAATTTGTTGACAATTTGACTGAACCATCGCGACAATTTCAAAAAGGACCAAGACCCAGAATAATGGTAGAAATGGTGACGCATCCAGGAAGAGTAGTTCCACCAAAACCACCTGTTTTTGGTCGGGGTTTGAATAAGGTTGAACCAAACGCTCCGGTCAAAAGAGTGTACCACTGTAAAAAGTGCGGTCAAGGTGGTCACAATTCGAGAAACTGTTTTTTGAATTAAAATTTACTTTTTTTATTTATTTAATATTAATAATTTATTATTTAATTGTTTGTTTGTTATAAATAAGAATGTTGAAAAAATGTCAATGAGCATTGATTAGAGAGTTTGTGAGCTGTATCTACATGGTTTCAATTTGGAGCGTGTTGAAAACTTCTAAAAACAACTAGCCCAGTGCGATGATTGATTTTTTGCAACAGATACAACACGTATTTAAAAGATATTTCGCAGTGAAACTTGAAGTGTCACAATAAAAGTACAACATTTCGTAAAACCAATCACTTAAAGAGGCGTATCACTTGTGATATGCCTCTCTACAAGTATTAGCTAGTTAATCAATACACAGACTGAGTTTTACAAGACACTTGTTGAGAAGGCACACAAATTCTTTCGAGGGAAGATCCAGATCATGCCGAAGTGTATTGTGTGGGTTTAACTGGTTCAACGCGTACTACACTCCCGGCGTATCTCGCATTTCAACAAACATCCGTGACGACAACGACTCATCATTGTTGTGTACGATGCGTGGCAACTTTGTTGGTGTTGTCTCGGACTCGACACGAGTGCTTGGTGATGGCGATGTGACACCTGCTGGTGGGCTTGGTGTGATGGAAGGGAAGGCGTTGCTGATGAAGTACTTGGGTGGTATTGACGCAGTTCCCATCTGCATTGACTCGAAGGTTGCTGGGAAGGCTGATGCTGGTGCGATGATAGAGTTTGTGCAGCAGATACATCACACCTTTGGTGCAATCAACCTGGAAGACATATCACAGCCAAACTGCTACAGAGTGCTTGACATGTTCGAGTTTTGAAAACCCACAGTCGTAATACACAATTTTCCCTGTTCTGTGAATGTTACAGAACCTTTCCACACAAGTTCTGATACAGCGTCTATGTTTGTTGGTTCACCATTTGTGAATGCCTTTCTGATAATCGGAGTGATGCACTGATCCTTTGCCGATTGTACAAATGTGGTGTTCACTTCAAACCTGTTTACGTTCAAAACAACCTGATTGTCTGATGCATCAAATACAATTTCACCACCCATGTATTGTAAGAGTGAAGTATCAAACGATTCAAATGCATAAATGTGTGAATTTTTACAAGCAAAAGTGATCCAAAAGATGCATATTGTTCCACTCTTTTGATGCCCTTCTCAACCATTTCAATGTACATTTGTGTTGCTTCAAATGTACTCAAAGAGACGTCTCCCGTTATTTTTAACATAGGGTATTACATTATCAATATTGAGGTCTTTCTCCAAAATGATGTTCTTTCCAAGTAAATTAATTCAATTTGTATCAACATAAGTATTGATTACAATTTTACACTTTTTACTATCTGCATCATCACCAATACACATCACCCTTTCTCCACTCATGTGTATGTTCAATGTATAAATGCCTCCTTTCATTATTTAAAATTGTCACACAGTCCTGTTTCACATTAACAATATCATAATCCTTTGTCTTTTCTGCATTGTTTTCAAGTCTAACCACACTATACACGGCGGTTGAAATTTCAATGTTATAACTCTGTTTATAGTCTGTACTGGTGTCTTTTCTTTGGCAATTTTCCATGTCAGTAACTGTGCAGAATACATCATTGGGCATTGAAAAACAGATGTTGATTTGTTAATCAATGTTTTGAAATTAGATACAAGTAAAGTATCTGTAGGAAGAGATGCACCACTCATTGGCAATAACATGTTAATGAGTGGAATGTGTGTAGTTGTGGTTTTTGATGGAAATTTGATATTAAGACCTTCCAAGTTGAATTTATTCACATTGATGATTGAATTTGTTGATGATAACTGTTCAAATATTAAATCAGTGACAGTGATAAAAAGGGTATTTCCAATCAATGCTTTATCATTTCCAAATACTTTGAAAACACTCAGTTGTGATTTTATTGGTGTCAATTCCGAGTAAGTCAATGTAACACCTTGTTTGATAGTGACTTCTGGAAAACTTTTAGTGTCAAATTGTCTTATGAGTGTATAAGCGTTCCATGTATTTTGACATTTTTAGTTTTAATAAAATTTGACATTAGAATTGAGTATAGACTTTTAAACGTAATAAAAAAGTATGTCGGAATTTGTCTCAGAATGTTAAAGATTAGGTATATGTAAGGTATCAACGACCTTTCAATTTGTAGTGTTTAAAACACAACTAAGAACAGTCAGTCTAATGCAATGATTGATTTTTGCAACAAATACGACACATATTTAAATATCATTTCGCAGATAAACCGGAAATGTCACTTTAAAAATTTAACATATTGTTGAATTCGACGTTGAAAATATAATATCATAAGTGATGTGCCTTTTTACAATTGAGTGACTTGTCTTTGTTGAAGGAGCCATCACCGAAACATTTCACAACAACACCATTTGTGCACCTTGAGCACTCTAAGTCATCAACATATAGAAAAAGGGGTCAGACGAACAGTATTTACAAAAAATACATTTACATGACTTATGTGTTTACCAACAAATACTGCCACAATAACATATTTTATGTATCCCAAACCGAACGAACACTCAAAGAAGACACACAAATGTTGTCACCAACACAATTTGCATTTTCATATACAACATACACGCTAAAATATTGTACTTCACAACACTTGATTACTAAATATATTATGTTGTGTTTTAATGGTTGTATATTATTAGAAATACAACGATATATTATTCGAAGGCAACAATGTATAATTCATGGCACCTTGTTGCGTCGTAGTCATACAAAATATTAACTATTCAATTTTAGAGTAAACCAACTTTTCATTTTTGAACATTACTATTTACAATAAAGCATTTCGTGTATTTTGTTTAGTGACATTATAACTTGTTATTAAAAATTGTTGATTCAGAATAATATAACCAATATACTACATTTTCTTCAATGAAATTTTAAAAAGTATGACGTACTAAGTATTATTTTTGAAAACTTATTGAAATATTATAAATGTATTATAACTTTATTAACAATTAAAACAATACATCTATGTTGTCTATTAAAAACAAATAACATTTTAATGTAATAATAATAACCATAAACATAAAAACAAACTTCCTAACACCATCGAAGACCACTCTTATCATATATGAAATAACATTTCTGGTAAACACAACGGAATGTCTGTTTGAGTTTTTGTGAATCGCTGTTTTTAGTAACGAAGAGAGAACATGTCTGGTCAGCAACAGAGATAGCTGAAGCCTCTGCCATTGTTTTTGATTGGGTTTTGAAGTTGTAGGAAATAAACGCATTGGCTATTGAATCGATGATGTTGTCTGGGGTTTCAAGCCCTTCTTTAAATAAATAAGGGTTACCTTCTTTGGTTTTGACATCGAAGGTAAAAAGTACTTGGATTTTGGTTGAGTGTTCTTCCATTTAGTAATTAAGAGTTTTAGATTTGTTAATATTGAAAGTATGGTTTATTTAATTATTATATAATTTAGTGTTTTAAAATTAAATATAAATCAAAACGTTTTCTTTGCGCCAAAACATGCGACAAAAAAACAAAAAAAAACAAAAAAATGACGTTTTATATAAAACTTTTACTGGTTTTACTTTTTTAGATGTAAATGAGAAAAAGTAAAACCCTATTTTTTTCAAGACTCAAAAAACAAAAAATACAAAAAATGTTTTATTTTTATATAAAAAATATGTATTTATAGCGGGGTGTGGGTGTAAAAGGTAAGTCCCAAAAGTCTTTCTTTCTTATTTATTAACTATTATTTAGATTTTATTATTTTTTTAAATTATTAATTACTATAAATTCATTGTATATTATAATTATAACCTTAATATAACTAATTATTTATAATTTTTTAATTAAATATCTTTTTGTATTTATTAATTTTTTCTGAATTAATTTAAATATTTAACTATTTCTATTGATCATTTTTTAATATATTGTTCTATTTATAAAACATTAAGGGGTCATTGTCATGGCCCCTTAATGACAAAATCGAAAGCTATATTTTTTCTTACTTAAAAAAATTGAATAAATTTCTACAATTACATATACCTACTTTATTTATTAATTAATAACTACTATTTTTTCTTTATTATCACTTAATTCTATTATATTAACTTGTATTATTATTATTTGATGACGTGGTATATACTCACCAATTTACACAATTTTACATTTAAGTAATCTCTGTTCCCAGGAGGTGAGGGGGGAGGAGGCCGGCTTTAGGAACCTCTTTTTTGACTTTTCTCGCTAAATATCAACGAAATTGATAAAATCAGTTTCGCTAAATAATTAAATTAAATTTTTTCAACTTTTTTATTTTTAATAATTAATTAATCAAAAAATTATAATTCATTTAAATTTTTTAAAACAATAATAAACATTAAATATTAAATAAAAGTAAATTAATTTCGATGAACTACTGTATCTGATGGGAAACATTGAATTCCAATTGATGTCACACTTGATGGTATTGTAATACTACTTAAACTACTGCATTTATAAAAACATGCATAACCAATTGATGTCACACTTGATGGTATGTTAACACTGCTTAAACTTCTGCATTTACTGAAACAATTATCACCAATTGATGTGACACTCGATGGTATAGTTACACTTCTCAAACTACTGCATCTATAGAAACAACCATTACCAATATATGTCACATATGATGCTATTGTAACACTGCTCAAACTACAACATCCTTGGAAACAACCACCACCAATTGATGTCACACTCGATGGTATTGTAATACTACTGAGACTACTACATTCATAGAAACAATAATCATCAATTGATGTCACTTTTTGTGGTATTGTAACACTGCTCAAACTACGACAATAACTGAAACAACTATTACCAAATGATGCTACACTTGATGGTATTGTAACACTAGTCAAATTACTGCATCCACGGAAACAAAAATAACCAATTGATGTTTCATTCAATGGTATGTTGACACTACTCAAACTACTGCATCCATCAAAACAATAATCACCAATTGATGTCGAACTTGATGGAATGTTGTTGCCAAATTTCTCTCTATCTTTTTGAGTGTAAGTGACATTTTTGAACTCGATGTTTCGACTTTTGTTTCTGTCAACAGTTTCAAAGTCAACATTGAACCACACAATGATTCGATAAAATTCTTTTTTTAAAACAGCTTCATTTCCACTATCTTCATATTCTTCTGTATTGATCATAAATCCATTGCCAAAATTCTCATCGTCTTTACTCCACAAGTGAAGTGTCTCGATGTTTGGGAAGTATCTAAATGTTTTGGAATTTAACGGAATTGGGTTGAAATGAAACTTTTTCATATTACCACCAAACTTTTTGCATACCAACTCCAAGTTAATAAAGTCGTTGATAGTTTCAAAGTAAATTGAGACTATCATGATGTGATACCCAGAAAGTCCACGCATTTTAATTTTCACAGTTTTTTGTTGTTTAAATATTTTCAAATTCTTTTTATACAGTTAAAGGGAAAAGGGGGATGCTAATCTAAATATAAATTTATTTAATATTATTAATAATAAATAATTAATATAAATTTGTTCAGTTTTTTCATTTTATTAACTTTTTTGATTAATAATTTATATTAAAATAAATAGTAATTTTATTATTTTTCAATTGAAATTAGCCAATAGTTACAAGAATCCTCCTTTTTCTAGCATCCCCATATTTCCTCCTACTGTAAACTTTTTTAAGGAATTATTTTATATATATAAAGGTGAGAAGTCAATTATGTTATTCCAATTTAATTTTTTGATTTTGGTTTTCATAGCTCAGAGGGGTTTTCTCTATTACCCGTTTCTTCGCCCCTTGTTTCTGTTGTCACAAGGTTTTCATGTTCAAAGACATCGGATGATAATTCTATTTCATAAGAAGCTTTCCCATGGTTCAGGTACGATATTAAGTCTTTCATGCACGAAACTGTTACATCTCTCAATATTTTGGAGTAGTTCAATTTGATTTTAAGTAGTTTTTCTAATCTTTCTACTGAGAGTTTGTTGATAAGTCCGCTTGTTGTTAATACTACAGGAATTGTTGTCACACTTTTCATGTTCCTCCCATTTCTAATTTTTTCGTTAAGGGTGGCATATTTGACAACTTTTCTGAAGTACGCTATATATATATATATAAATTTATATATATCATTCAATATTTCAAACTATTAAATATTATCTTGTTAAATTGTTGTATTTAGATAATAAATTATTTAATTAAAAATTTAATACATTATTATTGTGCTGAAAAATAATTATTAATACAACACAATAAATGATATTTATTGTGTGTTTATTGAAAAAAAAATATAAAGATAAAATTATAATTTTATATCTAAAACATTTAATATTAAACACAATTAATTTACTATACTGTTACTGTTTTAAATAAAACACAAATTTATTTTTTTGAACTTGATATGATATACAAAAAACTAACATTGTGGCGACTCTTTTGAAATGTAAACAGTAAACAAACATATTCCACAAACAATAATTTATAGGTTTCCCTTTTTTCTTCGATTTTTGGAAATGTTTTAATCAAAACACCAACAGTATTAATGTTCTCATCAACAAAACATTTTTTTACAAAAAAATGTTTTATAAAAGAAAAAAAGAATCGTAAGGTTAAATTACGATTAAAATACGATTAAAACCAAAATAAATTTATTTTATATTATCCTCAAAATGTGAAAAGGTGTGTTTGTGTGTACTCAAAGTAATAATGTATTGTATTGTAATAAGACGATTATTCAATGGGTTATTTTGATTATCATTTTATTTATAATATATTTGTAACTATAATATCAGTTTAAAGTATCTTGTTTACAATAAAATCCTTTAAAAAAAATGAAACAATAATTATTTACGCAAACCACTATATTTAAAATTAGTCACTCTAATATTTCCTTTGTTTTTCTCGGCCGTGGTCTTGTAGTCAACAAAAATCAAAATTTATTTGGTTATTCGGAATATTTAATAAAGTTTTTGTTGACAGCAACGAGTTGACATGTGTTGGAAACTCATCAAAACACCATTTAAAAATTCAATTTTCAACAAAAAATAATGAAAGATACACATTTAGAATTAAACCAAAAGTGGTTTTCCTTTTAAAAGGCAAAGCAGTTGAATTTGGGATACGTGTACATCCCAACTGTTCATGTAAAATTCATGACACAATTCCACTTTTTTCAAATAACTTAAAAGATGGTATTACAAAAGAACACTACTTGATCCAGGTGAGTTGAGTGAAGAAGAGAAATTGGGTGAAGGTTCGTTTGGTATTGTTTAAAAAGGGACTTTCAGAGGGAATATTGTTGCCATCAAGAAGATGAAACAGTTCACAGATGACCAAAAGTCGCTTGACGAATTTGAGAAGGAGGTTGCAATGTTGGACAAATTCAGATGCGATTATATTGTCCACTTCTATGGTGCTGTGTTTATGACAAACAAAATATGTTTAGTCACCGAATTTGCGAATTATGGGAGTTTACAAGACTTGATGAAACATAAACAATCAAATGAAGTTGACATGCAAATTAGACGATTGGGGGACATCTCGTAACTTGGACAATTGGTAACTTCAACATAAAGTTCAAAAAATATATTTTTCGATGTTTTATTTTTATTTTTTTTATTAATTTTTTTCTCGGCAAAAAATATTTAAGTATCCATTAAAAATAAAAAACCAAAATTGTTATTCAGAAAAAGTTTATAAATTTTTTATGTATTCTTTGTTGAAAAGATCGAATTGTACAATAAACTATCAACAAAATGTTCATAGCGATTGATTAAAACACAATAATGTCTCAGTTAATATTCGTTACTTTGGAATGATAAATCGTTAATCTAAATATATATATATATATTTATTATCGATATGTCAATTTCATCATCATATATTTAATTTGATATATTATGATGGATATCATATTTATTTCTGTGTTATCAAGAATGTTAATGTGAATTTGTCATTTTTTGAATAACTTAAATCAAGATATTCCAGTAAACAAATTGAGGGGCATGACAAAACTAAGCCACTTGACCTATACTTAAATATTCTATTTTTTAATAATAAAAAGTTTACTTATTTTTAATAGTAAAATATTTTACTTATAGTCACCCGCTAAAAGGTAAAAATTTCCGACAAATGGTCTAAAGAAACTATATTATAGTTTTTTGAAATTATGATTTTATATTGTGTTTCAATTTGACATTTATTTCTTTTCATTGAAAGTATTTCAAAATAAACTAAAGTTTTACTTAATTATAATACATTGTCAAAAATAGATTAAAGGTGAACTGAAAATCAATTTTAATGGATAATGTTGTATATGTGCATTTATTTGTACAATACCAAAAACCAAACCTACAACTGGTATGGTTTTCGACAATTCAACCAATTCTTTGGATGTATCAGATTCATTGTGTTGCTCACTCAAAATAACACAACCTTTGTTAGTTTAACTCCGTATGCTTCTCATTTTTTTTCAAGTTCTTGATTTGGGGATATTTGGTGGGCTTAAAAGTAGAATGTCTTCTTTTAAAGCGAAAGACAGTTTTGTAAATTTGCTTTTTCAAGAAGAAGTCGAGAAGGAAAATGTGGATAATAATTTGTTTTAGAAAAAACATTTTTCACAATATCGAACTCTGGAACAGACTAAGAAAGTTAATTGATGATATTGGTGGATTCTTTGTGGTTACAACACCTCCTTTTATTATTATTGCTTTTAAACGAGCTGTCACAGTCAACTAGATTGACAAAACACCCCAAAGTGTCATGTATTAATTGATTGCAGTTATATTTTAAACTAATTAAAAAGCTTGACAAAAATTGATTCAATGTGATTTTATTTTTTGTTTTTTTAATGTTGTTTTTACTGTTTGTATAATTATAGTTTAAAATAATAAATTATAGTTTCTTTAGACCATTTGTCGTGTTTTTATTGCTTTTAGAGGGTGACTATATATTAAAAGAAATAAAAAACTAATAAAATAGATACCACATTTTAATGTTGTCTAATTTTTCACTTACTCAACTGTATTATTCTGTTTATTAAATAATAATATTATTTAATAAATTTATTTTACAATCAAATTACCAATTTATTATAAAACCAATTAAAAATTATATTGCTTAAATAACTATATTTTTATTCTTCGCTTGTTTGCTCATCATCAATCACAATATTTGCCTTGTGATCTTCAAAAACACCCGCGATGTTTTTCAAACATTCATAAAGTGTTACAACTTTCTTTTCGTAATCATCTACAATATTATTAAGTCTTTCTGTTGAACACGCTATCCATTTTATTGTCGGTTGACGAATTCCAATTTTCATTTTTTGAATATCTTTTCGAGTTTCTTCAATTATTTCTCCATTGATTTCGACGTATTTGTTGAAAGACGGCTTTTGTCCTCCACAACGTTTGTTCAGTCCAGAGTGGTATGATTCACAAATGTTGTTTGTTCGAATCAAAGCACCTCTTTGATTCCACATCATCAAAGGAAAACTGCCACAAATCCACGTGTTTTGAAAATATTCAAATATTTGAACGACTTCTTTACAACTGCCATACCATACCTTCAAAATATCAAACGCTTCTCTTACTTCGTTGGGTTTTAAAAAGCTCAAACCGAACATTAATTGGACGGCTTCAAACAACACACCATGGTTGTTGTATGTGGTGATCAAACCAAATTTTCTTATTTTCTTAATTACTGCTTGTCTCTGGTGATAAAGACATCCTTTGTGTACGAGTCCAAAATTTACAAATTTAGAAAGTGACGCAATTAAACCTTTTTCAAAATCAGACATTATCAAGACTGCTCTTTTGAAAGGGGATTGTCCAAGTAAATTTTCCAGAGATATGAACAATTGAGTATATGATGTTTCAGAACGTTCATTCATCAGAACATGAGCAACCGGAAAGTGTTGATCATTGGGTAAAACCACATGAATCGAATACAGTTGAGAGTAAAGTGTGGGACATGCTAAAAACGTTCCATCCATACATATCATTTTTGCAGATAAAAGTAGCTTCAATTGTTCCATATCACCAAAAAGAAGAGTGGTGTTTTTATTGTTATGATATAAAATGTTGGTGTAATTATTAACAACAATCTCTTCAATTGTATTGGGATTTGGTGGGCGATCAATGTTTCTTTTGATAAATTTGTTAAGTGTGGCGTCTGAAGTAGATATTGATCCTCTCTTGAAATGAGTCAATAAAGTTCTTGGTGTCATTTTCTTGAGATTTATATTGAGTGATAGTTCTTTCTTTATTTGATTCTGATAAAGCTTCTTCTTGAAACTTTGTTCGGCATCGATGTGTTGAGTCGTTTTACCATAATGAAGAGAATCATCAGTTGATCCAATTAAATGGACTTTGCACTTAGGTGCAACACATGAATA